ACTGAATACACCAAATCACATATTACCAACTTATTCTATAAAGAACCCAGTCACCCAAAGAGCCAAATCCTTAATGATATTGCTAAATCATATTTTGGTCCTGGATGCCATTTCACCCTTTCTCATCCAGAGAAAACCATTGCCTACTACAAAGATATTCTACTCCATCATCAATCCATTTTGATTAAGCCAATCCAAGATCGCACCTATGCTTACAAAATTCTATATCATTCCATTTACATTCACAACATTGTTTCCTTGGCCGAATGGGGTCCTCCTTATCAGCTTCGTGATCTACCTGGTCACTCCATCCAATATAATTATCATGATTACATTGATGCCTGGTTCAAGATTTTCTTATATCAAAATGAAACTTTTAGCCATTCCTGGTTCATTTCATTTGATCAAAAATTCAAGTCTGAGTTACCTTCCTGGTTTCTGCGATGGTGGTCTCACTATGGTGCCATTTCAGATATCCTCCCTGATAATCTGCTTGAATTAATCAACTATTTTGCTGCTGTTTACCCATTTACCACCCATCAGAGATCATTCCCACTTTTGCTAATTTTTATAGCCAAGTATAAAATCCCTTGGATATTTAAATGGCATTATGGGATTGATGGTAACATAATTATCCGACATCACTCAGTCAAATGGTGAGCTAAATTCAATTTGCCCCGCATATTTGAAATTGTTCATGAAGAATTTCCATCTAGTCAATATGCTCCAACTCCTGCAATGGTTAAAGCCCAGCAGATCCCAACTGCTGCAATCAGTCAAGGAAGTCAGCCTAGCCTTCCTCCAATCAATCTTGGAAGCCCCTCATCTAGTGGTTCCAAGCCCAAATCTAAACCAGTTCAACCAACACATTCAAAATTAAAGGCTAAGTCCAAAGCTTCTCCAGCTCCGGCCCAGCCCAAAGATCAGTCCAACTCCAAATCAAAATCCAAAGCAAAGGCTAAGCCCATTTCACCTCCTGCTCAGCCCAAAGCTAAATCAAAGGTCAAGCCCAAGTTATCCAGAGATGAACTGCTCCAATTAGCAAGACAAATTACAGATCAAGCTGAAGCCCAATCTGCTTCCAGTTCAGACCATTCCGAAGAAGATTCAACCAGCATCCATTCTTCTGAAGAATCAACTAATCAGTATTCAGGCCCAGAGTTTCAAGATGCTCAGGACCCATTTGCATAATCATAATCAACATAGGATTCCCTATAAATACAAATTAGCTTCAATCAATACTCTTTTGAGAAAAGCTGCTAATTTATATTTATATTGATTCCTTTATTCACATGTTCCACCGAAAGTAATGAATAGTAAAAGTTACTGTTCACTTTTACTATTCACCGTCACTATTCAACAAATCAACTTTTACTAAAGTCTGATCATCTGTGCAATCACTCCACCGAAAGCAACCGACAGCATCTACTTTTCACATGCTCGGCCAGCTGCTTGCAGAAATCACATGCTCACTGTTTTGCTTTCCATTTTCTTTATATTGTAATCAATTGTAAGCATTCAGGCATTCTTGAATTTTCTTCTCCATCTTTGTTGTAAGAAAAACCAGAGTGTTTTGAGAGCCTTACAAGCTTCCCCGTTGTACCCAATTAAAGATCCTTACAGTTGCTACAATTGTAAGTTATTTTCTGTATAATTAAATGTTTTATGTTTTCTGTATAATTAAATGTTTTATGTTTAATTGTGTTATTCCAATGCTGTTATGATCTTGTTTTGATTTCGTAATCCATCTCCTTCATATATGTTGCTTGCTTGCTTTCGCCTTTATGAGTTTGAGATATATATGTATAATATATATATATATATATATTTTGTAGTTGAATTAGATATGTGTGAGAGAAAACGTGATTGATTAATGTGTAGACAGATAATTGATTTTAGATTTTTTTTTCTTTTTCAAAAATTTTTAGCCAAACAAAATTTTTAAATTTTTTTCTCAAAAATTGTCTCTCAAGAGACAAATCAACTATTGAAATCCTTCATTAAAAAGGTTTTGGGGCTTTTGAGTAAGAAATATGCTTAAGTATTTATGATTGGAATTTCGAACAAAGTCTTTTCTTTTTTTTTTTTAATCTTCAATAAGGAGATTTAAAAATAAATAAAGAAGTTGGAGTTTTCAAAATTAGGGACCCAAACACTGCCAATTTTGGCAAGAGCTAGCCTATTATTCTCTCTCAGTGGCATCAATTTTGTCACTGTCGGTGAATTGGTTTTGTGCAGAGGGAGAAATGTGAAAGCAAGTGAGGGCTTTGCATGGGGGAAAAAATTTATTCACGTTTGGGGTGAGTATCGGATATATTGATCCATTTAAATCGATTGAATCAAATCGATTTGTCATATTTTGGATGGATACGTAATGACAAGTGAATGGTTGCAGATTGATTTTTTTTTAATTCGTCTAATTTTGGACGGATGACGGATTTGAAATTTCTTTTACCACAACTGAACCGTCAAATCTCGAGCACTCCTAGTAATTTGTAAGACTTTGTGTTTTCAATTTGTTTAGATATTCTGTTTATGTTTTCAATTAAAAAAAAGTTTAAATATTTTGTTGAATATATTCTGTTGAAAAAGAGTTTTCAACTTGAATATATTTTTTAAATTGAAAAAAATAAATGAATTATTTATCTATATTTTTTTGATTTTTAAATCTAACTCTAAAAATAATAAATAAAAATTAAGGCTGGGCATAGGGTCATCCGACCCGTCCAAATCGCCCTACCCGATCCGAACCACGCATGTATGGTCGGTTTCGCAAACACATTAGGGTAGAGTGCGGTTTGATTTTTATCTAATTTTCGGGTTGCGGGCAGGTTGCGCGTTTGACCCGCACCCACTCAACCCGCCTGCATATATATATATATATATTTTTATATCTGACCGTTCAAAAAAACCCCTTTTATTTTTATTTATTTTTTTGTATTTTGGATGAATGTAAATTAATGAAGAATTACCTTCTTTTTTTTTTGTATTTGGGTTAGGAATGATGAATGTAGGATGAATGCAAGTTAATGATGAATGTAGATTTTGAATGATTTGTTTAAGTTACGAATTGAGATGAATGCAAGTTGATGATGAAAGTAAATTTTGAATGATTTGTTTAGGTTACGAATTGATTTTGTTGTGTTTTTATTTTATAAGTTTTTTATAAGTTTTAATTCATTAATTATTAATGTTAGAATATTTTAGAAAATGGGAGGAAAATGTTTAAAAGAAATATTGATAAAAAATGGGGAAAAAAAAAGGGTTTAACAAAAAAAATTTGAAAAAAAGTTCAATCCGCAAACCGCCCGCAACCGCCCATGCAACCGCGAACCCTATCCGCACAAACCGCAAACCGCATTGCGGGCGGTTGCGGGTTGACTATTCCTCAAACCGCATACATGTGGGCAGGTCCAAACCGAACCGCAAACCGTCCCAAACCGAACCGCGGACACCCCTAATAAAATGTTATATGTTGGTTATGTTGGTTGGTTTTATTTTCAAAAACAGATATAAATGTAACAATACAGAGGCATACAATCTCTACTACTGCTCTGTTCATAGTTTTGGTGATTTGAATTATTCTTATATTTTAAGAATCACAAATTGTAATACTTTATGTGGATGAGGCATGTTGTGATTATAATATGTAGATGAGACATGCTGATTATAATACTTTTTTAAGTCATTAACAATAATAATTTTTTTTTTCTTTGAGAAAGTGCACAAGTTAAATTATGTTGAAAATTTATAAAATTTAAAACTGTCAAACCGATTCGCATCCATCCTTCAATCCATCAATCAACTCAATCCACATCCGCTGGATTGGCCGACGGATGCAGATTGATTTTTTCTAATCTACTAATATGACAAATGAATGATAAATTAGAGATTTCGTAGCCGCAACTGCCCACCCCTAACTCACACAATCTGAACAAAACATATATCATCTTATTGATTTATTTTTAATTTTTTGTGGGATTGCTTCATCAGTTTTGGGTACAGCTCACATATAAATAAATTTGCATTCCCAAGTAACGTGATGGAAAAGAACTGGATTCTAGGTTAAATTTGCGCTTCTCGTAAAGGGAGAGACTTCTCTCCATTTCATTGCGTAACTTAGAGTGTATTGTTAAGTTTGCAGCTCTCATCATGGGTTCTATTTTGATAATTCGAACTGTTCATTGTATAGAGCTCGTCGAGTATTTTATGTTTGCAAAAGATCACGTTGATATGATATTGTTAGCCCTTTGATTGGAACACATTTTTGTTAACAATTTTCTTTTTAAAACCATATTTACCATTAACAAAAAATGTTCCGATTAAAAGGTTACCGATATCCGATTAGCTTGATTTTTTGCAGGTATGAAGTAGTCGACGATCTTTACACATTGAACGGTTCGGATTATTAAAACGGAACCCGTGGTAGACCCCACAGGTCCAATAGTACACTTTAATCCACACAATGAAACAAAGAAAAGCATCTCCCGTTCGGAAAAATAGTCATTGATGTCAGCAATTTCTATTAATTGAACTACTGGCCACGTAATGAGTGGAAAAAAGGATTCGGGATAGCTATGTGCTGCGAGCACAACACTCACTATTGTGTAGCTAGAGCCTATTTTAAATTTTATTTTGATAATTTAAATTGTTTACATTTTAGAGTATATTAAGTAAAACATATTTACAAAAAATTAAGTTAATCGAATATTGTTAATCCTTTTATCTATTTACATTTGTATCTACAAAAATAAATAACCATTATAATTTAAAGTATTAAAATGAATACAAATATAAATAGATGAAAATATTAACGATATTTGATTAATTTAACTTTTTATAAATATATTTTACTCGATAAAATTTAATATGTAAACGATTCACGTTACCATATTGAAAAAAATTATAAGCGATTTGAAAGTAAATGTATTTGTCAAATGTCTCAGAAACAATCTCGGCCAATTACAATATTGATAAGGATTTTGTAATAAAAAAAAATTTTAAAAAAAAAAGGGTAAATGCAATAACTATATTTGGTTAATTACTACATTACACTTTTTCTTTAATTTTCTATTTTCTATTTTCTATTTTCATTTATATATAACATATATTAAAAGCAGGTAAGTGTAATAGACGGGGAAATTTGTGAATCTAACGCTTCGTATATGACTTCAGTATCCTCAAAACTCTCTCAAATTACCTGGGTTCACCCACCGCCCGTGACCATTGATGCAAATCTGAAGCCATATGGGCTTGCAATCTATCGGCCACGTGGTCTCACGAAAGACAACTAGCAGCATCGATGGTGTGCTACGTAAATGACTCATCTCATCAGTTGAAGAATAAATACAGAGAACTGCACGTCCACCGCCATCCATTCTACTCAAGGCCATCACGGATTCATGGTATTTGATTTACAATTATAGGTGTACCTTGTTTCCTCCACATTCTCTCTTACTCTCTCTCTCTCTCTCACACACACACACACTTACACAAACCCTTGATTCGATTTAAATCATGAATATTGCTAATTGATTTTTGGGGCTTCATGTGGCGATTGATTCATGGATGGGATTAACTGTTGAATTGCAATGTCTAATTTCTTTTTGCCCATCATGTGCTCGACTATATGCTCAAATGAATGACACATAGAACCACCACTACCATCACCAACACCAGTATTACTTATCTGGTTTGTGTTGAAAGTGTAATAGATTATTGGAAAAAAAAAATATTATGATCTTGAGGATAAGTTTCATACATGTAATTTGTCTAAATTGATGTCTTTAATCATAGTAGGAACAAAAGTAGAATAGTGAGAAAGATTAAAATGATTAAAAAGGAAAAATAAAAACTTTGAATAACTCTGATTAGATCAACCAGCTCAATTCATTTTTAGTGACCAAAATTAAATAAAAAGGAATTTTGACACTCGCGATAGAAAACTACACCCACAAAAAATATACAACAAAACCAGACAAGAGAGCTCATATTATAAATATCTGTATAAATAAACATCCATCGGCACCCATCTGACGAGTTCATAAGCTGTTGCACTTACAACCCATACGCAAAATGAATCTCAAATGGAAACTTTTATTAAGTTACTCTTGATTTAAGGAAGAAACTAAATAAGATGAGACTTAATCTCAGTTTTAAGCTGTCTTATTTTTGAAAGGTAGTGGGCCTCTCGAGTCGTTTCCTCGTATATCCTTTGGACATGTGTCTTGAGCTTTATTGTATATTCCTTCTTCTTTGGTAATAAATGCTTACCATAAAATAATAAAAAAAGAGAGAAGAAAACACAGAGCTAAGTCTTCAATCCTCAAGATACATTGAAAGTTTTCCAAGGAAGGTACTGACATTTCTATTGGTCCAACTCCTATTGCTGGCTCACATGATATCTCTCGGGAATATGTTCAAATGAGAGCGTGGTAGGCACATATCCCATCATATCGAAGGTAAGTTTTTCACACATTTTGAAGTATTCATGTAGTGTAATTAAAAACTGTGGCCTGTGTTTGCTTTTTTAGTAGCACGCTGTAGTCTATAACATTCTGGTATAGAAGATTTTATTATGGTTTTTGGTTATGTTTGCTCACATTATATAAATCCCTTTGTTTAGAGGAGGAATACATATGTAATATTTGTCTTAGCTTAAAAGCCTAATTGTTAATTTTCTTTTCTAAAAATTTGTTTATGTTGTCCAGATTACGTAGTTTATTGATTTGCAATATGGCTTTAACTATCACTTGGAGTTCATTGTTGGCTATACAAATCTGAAGCCATATGGGTCTTCAATCTATCAGCCACGACTTCAATCTATCTCCCTCTCTCTCTCTCTCACACACACACAAACCCTTGATTGCTTTGGTTTAGGCTTTGTCATTCTTCACTTATTTGAGCAGTCAATTCAAGTTGAAAAACCTGTAAGAGCTATGAATTTTTTTATTAGTAGTTCTCTATAACGTCGTGTGTTCAATTTTCTATGATATATATGTATCTATGTCCAATGATTATTTTGTATTTGATAGACAATGGTCTTGTTGGGCATACAAAACTTGTGCATAGAAGCTATTTGAGGATTTGTCAAAGAGACTAATACTTCATTGGCTCCAAGGTTTGACATAGATATAAATATTGTTGTGGTATATGATTTGTTTGTTAGTAATTCTTCATATGGTATGTAGATTTAATCATTTCACTTTTTATTTGAGTGAAACATTTGTCTAACCTTTCTATTTTGTTAGGATTTCCCCTCTTGTTTGTAACAAGAAACCACAAGAATTCGGCAAGTCAGGTGTTTGAAGATATTTCCGTGAGACAACCCACCAATCCAGTGCTGATGAAAAAATTATTGTATACGAGTATGCAAGAATAGAACAATCCATCTTCTTAGTACCCAAAAGGCAGAAAAAGTAAGTGAAGAAAAATTTAGAATTGATAATAAATAAGTCCAATTAATAGGTCTAATTGGTAAGTATTCCCTTTTTCTATTTTATTTTTTATTTTTATAAAGAGGTGATGCTTAATTAGAATTTAACGCTCTCTCGAACTCAAATTTTTATAGCTAATCAACTCTATTTGTAGATTGATATTATGACCCTAAAATTATCTAAAAACACTTTAATAATATTATATATTGTGATGTATCTTATTCTCAGTCAATAATAGAGCGACTCCCACGCGCGGGCACGTGGGAATCCAACTAGTATATATATGTATTTGTTACACACGATCCTACTGCCCCACTCGTGCCCTTGGCATATTACAACATGTTTGTGTGTATATATTAATAAATATTATTATTATTACCACACTATATTACACCAATATGATTATATCCATAAAAAAAAATTTCCCACATAAATCAATATATATATATATATTGGCAACATGATATTTTCAATAAACATGTGGAGTTAGTTATAGAATGGTAAGCAATGAAAAGAAAAAAAAGAGTCAAAATAAAAATGAATAAATAAATAAAGGGACATTTACACATAAGGCTTAATTTATAAACTTATACTTTATTAAGCTTTAACTAAGATTTTTTAAACCTTCAAGTCCCATTAAATTTTTAATAGTCGGAATAAACCTTCAAACAATGATTGTTCATCATTTATGATTATCTATAAAGGAACATTATAATTTGACATTTATTTTGATTTTCAAAACTTTAAAACATCAACTTTCAAGTTGAAAAAACTAAAAATATATATTATGTGCAAAAAAAAAAAAAAAAAAACCCTAACAAAAAAACTGACGTTTTTTAAAAAATTTGAAAAAATTGAATTATTTTTTTGTGCAAAATTAAAAATTTGGTGTCTATAAAAAAACTGATAATGTTCTCAGTTTTATTAGATAGTTGAATCAAGCCAATAAGTAGAAGGGCAAAATCGTTTAATTTGATACACTATTTTTTTTATCAATTAGTAAAACAATTATTTAGAACATTACTATGCAAAATTTATAATGTTCTTAGTTTTAAAAATTGAAAAAAATTATAATATTTTCAATTTTACTAAATAAGATTTATTGGTTCAAAAAATCTTAAATAAAATCTAAATTATTATAACATTTGTAAATAAGACTTTTAGGTAATCCACTCTTATTATTATTATTTGTTGGGAGAAAACCAACAAAAGTCCAATTCGAAATATCCGAATTCGGCACAAAAATTGCAGAAATAGTTTGTTCTCCCTCTTTGTGTGAACCTATTAGGAAACAATTTAATAGAGCACAATATAATTTGAAAATAATAATCCAACAATCACACAACAACGCAACAACAATTTTTTAACGTGGAAAACCTTCCCGATGTGGAAAGGAAAAACCACGGGACCGTAATCCACCAAATATCTCCACTATCAACAAATAATAGGTATACAAGAGTTCTCTCTAGATAGAACTAGAGGCAAACAATCAAGAACAACTTACAAATAAGCTTTCTTGGCAACCAAAGATCAAAATACAAAGTTTAGGAAAGATTTCACCAAAATGGGTACTGTTCACGGACCAAAAACTAGCAGTAGAATATTCCAAATCTGATCTCCACCGTCCAGAATTTAGAGTCTTGAGTTGTGAACTCGCCTACCAAATTTCAGCTCATTCGGACCACAAATGCATGTCGATCGGATAGCTTGATTAAAGCTGGACAGAATTTCTCCAAAACCTTGGCCTCTCCTTTTCTCTCTGTTTTGGTAGCTGCTGCTGCTCTTACTCTAAGTTACAGAGAAAGGGTTTGTCATGATACACTCATGGGCCAGATCATTTCAAAAACAAAACCTCTCCATGTGGGCTTTGAAACCTACATGGGTTTTACTAAATATTTTTGGGCCATCCTCCACATAGGAGGGAAACCCAACCCAACACTATTCAACTTACACCACTATTCTGGGCACTCCTTTGACAAATCACTTCCCTTTCTATTACTCAAAAGGCATATACTTTTGCATATCCGTTCATAAGTTAAATAATATATGTAATTATTGGATACTGTCTTAGAAAAAGATCAAGAAATTTATTCAGATTTTAAATGTGATGAAAATTCAAATGAATGTTTTAGGGGCAGTTACAAGTCAGTTCTGTTATTGAGATTTATTTACTTATAAGCTATATTTTATGTTTCACCTATCAATTTATTTGAAATGCCCTATTCTCACCTTTTTCATTCCTATTACTCACATTGCCATGACTGTACCTTCCCTCACCGGAGACCACCTCCAACCATCGTTTTTGACCATCGGCAACCTCTGGCAATATTTTCTTGGTAGTAATTTTTGACAATTTTTCTAGCATTTTTTAAGATGATCAACATCCATCTCCACCATGTCATTCTCCTATGCCTCCTTAGATTTGGTGATAACAAGAGAAATGGAAAATAAGTAGAATACTTTACAGTGATAAATTCATCATTGTATCAATATTTATCAAGCTAGTTAATCAGTTACTCTCTTTCACTATCACACTCACACTTACATACATACACCATCCTTCCCTTGTTCATTCAGAGAAATGCATTTACATACTTACATATAAAAAAAGAGTAAGACTGATAGATTTATCACTGTAATAGATTTATCTAAATTTATCACTGATAACATATCAGTGATACATTTATCATTGTATCAATATTTATCAAACCAATTAATCAATTAATCTACTTCACTATGACACTCACACTTACCTACATGCACACTCCTTCACTTATTCATTCAAAAAATACATTCACACACTTACATATAGAAAATATTTTTCTGAGTGATAAATTTATCACTGTCACAAATTTCTCCAAACATTAGTTTACAAGCAATTGATAGAGAGAATAAGAAAGAGAGGTGTGAGCTAAAGAATCTCTATATCTTTCATCATTATCATCGTCATTTTACAAATCCAAAACAACCCCCCTCCCCCCCCCCCAAAAAAAAAAGAAGCTAAAAACTAAACCCAAACAAAACCAAATTAAAAAGTAAAAACATCTCTAACTGAGATGATTTTTCAAATGGCAGTGTGATCGTTGAAGTTTTTCTAGAGGATCTTTGATGTATAAATTGGCAACGGTGAAGTGTAGATTGGAGAAGAAAAAGTATAGATTAGAGATATAAAATGTAGTCGGAAAAGATAGAGTGTAGATCGACGAGGTGGTAGATCGGTAATGGTAGAGTGTAGATCGATGATAGTGAAGGTGGTTGGTGAACGATGGTAGCAGCGGTCGACAATGTTGGTTTGTGGTGGTGGTGTAAAGTTTCAAAAATGGTTGAGAGAGAGAGAGAGAGAGAGAGCAAAAATATCTGAGAAATATTAGAGAGAGAAGAGAAGAGAAGTGAAGAGAAGAGAAGATAATATATTTAATGAGGGTAATATAGACAGTCGTGGAGTTATTGGTGCATTTAAAAAGTCAACATGACTTAATGATAATTAAGTCCACTCTCTGGGACTGACCCATAAAAAATCTAAGGTTTTATGGACTTATATATATATATATATAAATTTGAATTAAATATTAATATTTTTGAAGTTTAAATATATATTCTGAATTTATCATATTACTTGTTTTTTTGTTTTTCAAATAAAATCCAATCCGCACCAAATAGAAATTGTTGGTTGAAAGGTAAACATAGATTTTATTTTAGGGAGGATGATATAGAATATACGAAGTTCAAGAAAGGTTAAATTCGAAGAAGCGACGAGGCTTGGACATTGATATGATTTCATAGAGAAATTGATAGAAATCTTTTATAATATCACCTTTTATAATAGAATAATGCTTGGGACCCCCTTTTGGGGGTCACCCTCTCACCCCCCCCCTTTGCCACGTGGCAAGAGGTGATTGGTGGAGCAGGAAAAAAAAGAAAAAGAAAAAGAAAAGGTAACCAATGAGAGAGAGGGGGGGTCAAAGGGGGTGGGGGGAAAAGGTGGATGAATCATTATTCTTTATAATATCACTAAGAAAAGGCAATATGTGTCACCAAAGAGTCAAATTTTGTCGCGAAATGGTTCTCTTTGGGAAAGTCAGTGGCGAGAATTTATATTTGTCACTAAAAGTAACTAACCCCAACAAAAAATGTTACTGATTCTAACTTGTCGCCAAAAGTCTTACTTTCAGCGACGATAATTTTGTCGCGGAAAGTGACATTTTAGCAACAAAACATGTTGATGACCAAACTTGTTATTGGTGACAAAATATTTGGTCACCAAAGCTTATATTTAGCATCAAAATAAAGTGTCACCAAAAGGCACCTTTCAGCGACAAAATATTTTGTAGCTAAAAGTGGCCTTTCACAGCCAAGTGTTATATTTAGCATCAAAATTATTTATCACAAAAAAATATTAAGATGTACATTCCGCAACAAATCATTTTGTCGCTAAATATAATAATATTGTGAAAAATAATTTTGCTAAATTTATTTATTTATTTTTCTCAAAATAATCATGTCATAATACTATAAACCTGTACATTTTATACCATAAATCTCAACATCCCATACAAAAACCATATCCATACTATAAACATGGAAAACATCCTGTGCAAAAATACGTTCATGTCAGAAACTGAAATAATATTGTGTAACATCTAGCATCATAAAATAAATTCATCCCACAACGCTAACAAATTTTAAACACAAAAACTGCAATACCAAGGTACCGTTTGATAATACTTACGTTTTCAGTTTTTTATTTATATTTACAAAAATTTAAAAAAACTCAAATAAAAATTTGTTTGGTAAATTTTTGATTTATAAATCAGTGGTCTCAGCTTATAAATTTGACCAAAAAATGTAAATTCAAAAAATGTGTTTCCGTTTTGAGTTTTGAGTTTTTTGTTTTTTTTTTTTACCACCCAACACTAGCCACCACCCGCCACCATTTTCTACCACCGTCTTCTGCCACCACACCCACCCCTCACCACCACCTGCCACCACCACTCACCACACCACCTGCCACCACCACCACCACCCACCTGCCATCCACTCGCCACCACCCACCACCCGCCACTACCATCATCGCCCGCCATCACCACCCCGCACCACCACTCACCAGCCACCTACCACCACCATCCGCCACCCACCACCACCCGCCGTCACCACCACCCGCCACCACCCCACCACCACCACTGCCCACCCGCCACCCACCACCATCACCACCACCACTACCACCACTGCCACCCGCCACCCATCACCCATCACCACCACCACCACCACCACCACCCACTCGTTACCACCCGCCATCCGCCACCACCTGCACCACCACCACCCGCCATCCGCCACCCACCTGCCACCACCACCACCCACCACTCGTTATCACCCACACCCCCACCACCTGCCATCCACCACCCACCTGCCACCACCACCCAC